AGAGAGAGCGAGGCTGACAATGGCAGGAAAAACGTCGCGGGGTAGAAAACGAACTGAGGACCGTGGTTGCGGGAGACCAGTGATGGGGCGCGTGCACCCGCCAGGGCCCTGCCAGCTCTGTCTATATATAAGGCTTGTCTCGGGGCGGCCCTTAGACGTAGTAGTCATTCTTGTAAGCAAACTAAGAGGCAGAGGGGGTCTAAGCCCAGGCCACCCCACAGGAAGGGGTCACGCTGGGGTATATAGACCCCAATTGGGCCAAACTCTAAAGCATCCCAGACCCAGCGAGGGGGATGGAAGGCCTTGGAGAGGAACCAGACAGACACCCCAGGCTCCCCAAACCGGCCAGCGTCTGCGCAGCATCCACTGGGTTCCAGGCACTAAACCGGGCACCCGCTCAGTCCCCAGGCCTGTCCTGGTATTCGGTGCCCTGTGGTTGTAAGCGACGGAAACACACCGCAGCGAGCTCAAGTGGGAAAGGGAGCGTTTTATTTCAAGGGCAAAGGGGTGTCTCCTGAAGCCCAAGAACAGGAGGCAGCGAGGCTGCCAGGATTGCGGGAGGTGTTGGCCGGGGGGCTCGCTCTGGGCGTTTTCTGCTTTATCTTCTTACGGGAAGATGTAGGGATGGCTACTCAGGGCATCCATGTTCCCCCAGGTACCTGCCTGGGCCGGTCGCCCCTGTGGGGGTCTGGTCACAGCAGACACAGTGGCCATGAGTGCGACGAAGGCAGCCAAAGTCGGTTGTGAGCTGGGCAGACTTACCTCCACGGGGCAAGTGGAGATTTGAGGGGTGAACTATTATTGCCCAAAATGGCATGGCCAGTAATGGTGAAGGGAGTGGGCAGGGATTGAACTAGCCTTACCCAACTGAAAACCCACGCTCATATTTAAATTCGTCTTAAATTCACCTATTAATCTGAACATGGAAAGAAATTGGGGTGGTTGAACCTGAAAAGGGCATCTGGAGAGCCTGCACCATATCTGGTCCATCTTTGTTGAAAAAGCCCCCCCTTTCCAGGATGGTGACTCACTAGCTATTTTCAACAACCGGTGACAGGGCAAGAAACGGGTCTTCTGAGAGCAGTGTCCCGATGCTGAAGCTGAAATGTGTCCTGACAACCTGCCCCTTGCCGGAAGGCGGGACACCCTGGCGTTTGGATGCTCTCAGCTGACCCCTGCACGGTCCCCAGGCAGACGGGTCTGCTGCTTTCCTTGGCCTCCCTGTTGCACTTGAGCACGAATGTTCAGTCTTAGACACTTCAGCTTACCCCTGGGGCGGAAAGGAGAGAGTTTGTTTGTAAATGAATATTTTGGTGTAGACCTGATGTGACACTAACTTAGCAGCTTCAGGGATGCTTGACCCTACGTGAACACTAATTCACGTCCACGGAACTTGGCCAAGAGAGGACAGACGTCCAGGTTTGGTGGGCGCTTCCCCTCTCAGAGAAGGTCCCCGAAGGCTTTAGTGGGATGCAGGGTTTTGGAGCTGTTTGTGGGACTGTATTAACTAGTGGCATCCGGTTTCTTGTTTTGCAGATTGGAAGCCTGGAAAATTACTACCATTTTTATCACAGCAAGACCTTCAAGAGATCCACCTTGAGTAGCAGAGGCCCTCACACCTTCCTCCGAATGGACCCCCAGGTACAGCTCTGCTCCCCGGGCAGGACACCTTCCTAGAGTGTCGTTGGCTGTGTCTTTGGGCCTGTGGTTCTAACAGTGGCCGAGCCTGGATGTGAGTGCGATTCCCGAGAGCTGTTAGTTCCCCATATTCTCTTTGAACGAAGCAAGCCCGACACGTAGCTACGTATCGGACCATCTGAATGTTCCAAATGTTTGGGTCTCTTGTCACACTTGAGAATTTAAGTTATTGATTTTAGGGTGAAGCAACAGTCAAGTAAGTGTAGAATTATTGATTTTTAAAAAATATGTCTTTATTGATTTCAGAGAGAGGAAGGGAGAGGGAGAGAGAGAGAGAAAAACATCCATGATGAGAGAGTCATTGATCGGCTGCCTCCTGCACGCCCCCTGCTGGGGATCAAGCCCGCAACCCGGGCCTGTGCCCTGACCGGGAATCGAACCGCGATCTCCTGGATCCTAGGTAGATGCTCAACCGCTGAGCCACACTGGCTGGGTGGTTTATTGATATTTTTAATGTTTAAAAATCAACAACAGAGAGGACTCATGGACATGGACAACAGTGTGTTGATTGTGGAGGGGAGAGGGGTGGGTTGAGGGAGAAGAGGGCACAGAGGGATAAATGGTGATAGAAAAACAAAATAAAATAAATTTTAAAAAATAAACAGCATACATAGTAATTACAGAATTAGATAAATATGTGACTCTTACCCATAAAGGCAAAAAGATGAGGCAATTCAAACGAGTATTTTAATAATGAATTTGAGATTGGGTCACTGGATGTTTTTGTGGTTGTCCTAATGGTTATTTAAACACTTAAATGAATTTTAAAATTTGGGCAGTAAGTACAACATTTATTTTTCCGCAAAAAGTTCACGTGATCTTTGATATGAAAATACATGGACTTGGAAAAGAGGCTGACATTCTAAGTTTTAATATAATCCCTATTTATTGGGTGGTTCACTGAACTTTCTGCATAGATTCAAGATTAATATTGGACAAATATCAGTCAACAGATACTCGGTAAGATTAAAAATTTCAGCTGGCCCTGGCCTGTGTGGCTCGGTTTGTTGGGTGTCGTCCTGGGCACTGAAAGGTCGCCGGTTCGATTCACGGTCAGGGCACATGCCCAGGTTGTGGGTTTGATCCCCAGTAGGATGCAACAGGAGGCAACCAATCGATGTTTCTCTCTCACACATCGATATTTCTCTCTCTCACTCTCCCTTCTCCCTCGAAAATCAATAAAGGCATTTAAAAACATTAGGATGGCTGAATAGGCCTTAGATGACTCCCTTCATTGGACAGGTGGCTTTGGAATCCCTGCTGCATTTCAGGCTCTGTCCATAGTGGGTCCCCTGGAAGGGGGGGCAGGCTCATAGAAACTGAGGCATTAAATAAAATAAGTATTTGTTGTAGAGCACATGCTGGTGAGAGCTAAGGTGGAAAATGAAGTTCATGGGAGAAGCAGTGGCAATGCCAGCAGAGATGTGGCCTTAGAGCAACGTGCCGAGTGTGCATTTTGGGCTCACGCTGGCACGTGGTGCTATTTCAGCTGTTCCCACAGGACACACATAATATAGTTTCCATGGAGAAATGGGTCCTTGGTGTTGTCCCAAGCCACCCCACTAACAGTCACGGCGCCTTTTGTATCTACCACGTTGGGGGTAGGTGGGAGAGAGTTTATCCCTGGACGCTGTCCCTGAAACGCCCACGTCCAGGGCATCACCCCATGTGGCTCTGGTTTCCGCACACGAGGAAGGGGTCCCCGGGGAACCCACTCAGGGAATCGGGCTGTGCCGAGGGAGGCGGGTCTCGTGTATATTTCTGAATTCATTTTATGAGGGGTGAGTGGGTGGGAAGATAGAAGGAGATCGATTTCAAACATTAAGCTCGTCCCATTATTATTTCAGAGCAGGGAGAGGAATTAACGTTTATTGAGGGGTCGCTGTGCTTGGGCCCATGAACATCATGCCTCTCACCCGATCAGGGGAGGCTACGGTTATACCTCCGTGTGTTCATTTCGTGGAACTTGAAGGGATGTTTCTCAGAGGGTCTGGAATTTATTTTTTCCCTTGGAAGCAAAGCCAGCTTGTCTTGGGTCATTCCCGCAGAAGGGGGCCCTGGAGAAGGGCGAGCAGGCCCAGTGCCTGTGCCCGTGTCACCCTCCGGGAGGAAGGGGAACGCTGTGCACAGACTGAGCACCACAGAAGTGGGTTCTTGGAGGCTGCAGGGCGGGGCTGAAGTGCACGGTGGTCCCTCATCGGTCCCCGAGTGGAGACGCTTCCAGAAGGGAGTTGCTGCCGTGCCCGCCCCCCTTTCACTTCGAGCAGGAGCGAGCTGTCTGGTGAAGCTGACACGCGTGGTGTGCACCTGAAGTCCTCGGAGTTGTTCAGTTGTTATCACACAGATGGTTACGAGGGCAGCTGTTTGCAAGGGGAGCCCTGTGCTCCAGCGTAGGCAGGCCACGAGAAAGGCCCGGGGCGTCTGAAAATCAGGCCCTTTCTCAACCGTTAGAACCGAGGCAGAGTCGAGAGAGGCGGCTTAACAGCCTCTTCGTTTTAGCGACTAAGTTTTCCAGCTTTTAAAGGTATTCAACTCCAATGCTCTGTCTTCCTTCCAAAAATAGTAATTGTTGTGCCCTGGCCGGTGTGGTTAGAGTGTCAGCCTGGGCACCGAAGGGTCAAGGGCACGTACCTGGGTTGCAGGTTCGCTCCCCGGCCCCTGGTCAGGGCGTGTGGGGGAGGCAACCTGCCAGTGTGTCTCTGTCACATTGATGTTTCCCTCCCTCTCTCCCCCCCCTCCCACTCTTCTTCTCTCTCAAAAATCAATGGGGGAAACAAAAGTAATTGTGTACCTGCTGGGTACGGGGCCCTGTGCCCTGGGGGATGCAGAGATGCCCACCCAGTGGGTCCTCATGTTGGCGCAGGGCCTGGAGCCCAGGGGTGCGATCCAGGCCGGAGGGACTAGAAGGATTCCGAGTGGGATGGGAGGGCCCCAGACCTGCCTCAGCAGCATCCGAGCTCCTGGGTTCACTCCTCTAGGTGCGTTTAAAGTCCTATATTCAGTTTGAGTCTGCGGGCAAAACAGTGCCAGTAATCATCTGTGCCCTGGAAGGAAGGAGATGAGAGTAAGGAGAGACTTCCCAGGCGCAGGCTGCGGCACTTAGGTTTCCCCCCATAAAACTCTTTTCCGCAGGGCTTCTTAATGAACTCTTGGCAGGGCCGCTGTCAAAGCATCCTGCCAATAAAGAGGAAAGGGGGAAGGGAGCAGGCTGTGCATTCGGGGCCCGCCGGCCGCCTCCCCACTGCTGGCCAGTGTGTCTCGCAGCTCAGTAAAGTGTCCAGCCCCCGGGAGAGCCGAGGGACAGCCTCAGGGTCACGGCCGGACCACCTCTGCCGACGGCGGACCAAACCCACTAGCTGCCCGGGCCACTCGTGTTTACTCGGCCTTGTGGTTCCCATTAACTGTTGGGCAAAATGAGCTCTTTTAGAGAAGTATTTAGTGTTATGTTTTCGTTTTCTTTTTTATGTTAAATGTATTTGTTTATTAATTATTAATTTGTGGGGTTTTTGTTATTGTTAATCTTCACCTGAGGATATTTTTTCCGTTGATTTTTAGAGAGAGTGGAAGGGAGAGAGAGAGGGAGAGAGAAACATCGATGTGACAGAGACACATCGATCGGTTGCCTCCCACACTCGCCCAAACTGGGACAGGGGATCGAACCTGCAGCCCAGGTACGTGCCCTTGACCGGGAATCGAACCCGTGACCCTTCAGTGTGTGGACCTTGACTCTAACCATTGAGCCACAGCGGCCAGGACTATTAATTTGTTTTAAACAGTGTTATCTTTTCCACGTCCTTACGAGGCCGTTTTCCTACACTAGCAGAGCCTTTTTGAGACAGCTTAGCATTGGGGGAGCTGTGTCCTTAATAGGATTATGAAAAGGAAAAGATGATTTAATATTATTGGGAGTCTTGGGAACGCCAAGTCGCAATGTGCTGGGATGACCGAACTGGAAATGAATGTTGCAGGGCCTGGGATGAAGCTCGGTCGGATGCAGATAGTATTTCACTTTAATTAGCTCCAGTCCCGCCGTATGGAAGCGCCTTGATAAGGGATGGAATTTGCAGCCCACCCCCACCTCCCATAAACGCCCAAAGCGTGTCCATTTGTTAAAACAAAACACAGGAGGAGGAATTGGATTTCAGGCTGCTGCAGTCACCTGCCCTCCTTCCATCCTTAATTACCTTGACTTGCTTTTTTGTTTGTTTGTTTCTTTTACCATTTTTGGTTTTTAAAAAATGGGGAGGGGGGGTGCATTTTGCTCCAAGTGCTGTGTCAATCAGCCCTTTCCCTAGGAGAGCGCACAGCATCAGTCGCTGGGTTTTCCAAAGGCTGTCATTTAAGCAAACTGAAAGCATTTGTTTTTAACTTGTCCTTGGGCCAAAAGTCTGGAGAAGGGCGGATGCTACAGAAGCTCCGGCCAATAGCGGCAAGGACACGCGAATTTTTCTTAAATTACTTGTTTTGATTGCGCTCCAAGCTGGCGCACGGTCCCCTGTTGCTGCCCTGGCCTCCCGGCCCTCGCCTTTCAGGAGGGTGACCCTGGCTCAGCCCTTCCCCGCCCTGCAGGTCGCAGCCAGATGGGTGACAGAAATAGATAAAGATGTTCCTAGGCGGGCCCTCCGTGGCTCCTCCGGCCCTGGAGCCTGCAGCCGAGGCCTCGCCGTAGCGCTGTGATCTCCAGGACCAGCCGGCGTGCGTCCTGTTCCGTGGGTGGGACCCTGCCCCCCCCCGAGTTTAATCGGGTTTCTTCCCAGCAGTGATGCGGCCCCGGGGCAGATCTTTCCATCGGCCACAGCTGGAGGCTTATCTGACCGCGTGTGTGCTAGAACCACCCCAAGTGCAAACGAACAAGCAGTTCCTGCCAAGTCCGGGCTCAGAGACCAAAAGTGACCAGATTGATCTTGGGGTCGACGAAC